TCTTGGGCCCCGCCCCCGCCGCTTCTCCATGGGGCGCGTGAAGGGCGCCTAGCAACCAATCGGGAGTGGGAGGGGGCGGGCTCAGACGCTGATTGGTTGGGCTGGACGCTGCTCCAGAGGGCGGTGTGGCGCTGAGCAGTGCTACCGTGCTGTCTAGTGTATACTAGAATACTGTCTACCGTAATACATAGGTGAGCTGCGCAGAACCAGACTGGGTAGATGGCGCCGTGCTGTGCAGTCCAGAGCAGAACTGGGGGAGCCGAAAGGGTCAGGATTTTCCTGGCTCTGTTGTCTCTGGAACTGGGGTCTTTTATACCTGCCCTGGCATAGTCACCTGCTGCTTGGACGCAGCCCCCAGTGGTTTGATGTGTGCCCAAGCAGGACGGGCGTCATAGAGAATTCAGGTTGGAGGGACCTTGGGATGTCACATCTAGTCCAACCCCTTGCTCAAAGCAGGACCAGCCCCAACTACGTCATCCCAGCCAAGGCTTTGTCTAGCCGGGTCTTAAAAACATCCACGCATGGAGCTTCCGCCACCTCTCTGGGTCACCTGTGCCACTGCTTCACCACCCTCCTAGGGAGAAAGTTATTTTGTGATATCCAACCTAAACCTCCCTTGCTGTCCATTTGGGCTCCCTCTGTGCTGGCTGGGATTTCACTGGGAACGGTGTGGTTGAAACCCAGATGTTTTATGGAAATTCGTGAGTTTTGATCAACTTCCAGCGAAGCAGAGGCAAGGTCCCCCAGCTGCTGCCCAGTTTCCTAGCCGCCCAACTGGCTGGGAACCAGACGCCTGGGAAGGGGTGGGGTGGAGCCAGAGCTGGGGCAGCAGGAGGAATCTCCCCAGGTAGGGGCTGCCAGGGGGTCCATTTTGTTTTTAAAAAATGCAAGGAAACATTTCAGTTCCCCCAAAACATTGCGTGTGAAGACAGGAACAGGGAGGAAGGAATTCCTTTTCTGGAGAAAATCTGGCTATTTTTATTTTTTCCTCCAATCCAGGGCAAAAACTACCTTTTTCAAGAGTCAAGAGCCAGTCAAGTTACCTGCAGAGAGAAATTCCAGGTTCCAACCAGCTCAATCCTTGCCTTAAAAGCACAGACTTTAATCTGGCGAGCTATGGCACAGCTTTATCAGCATCTCAGGTAGGAGCTAAGAATGGTAGTTTGTGATAACACCTATCTAAGGTGGCCAAATGACTCATTTAATGTCACTTGAGGAAGCTGGGAACAAAAAACTCCTAATTTCTAGTCCATGCTTTACTACAGCCTTCCATTCCTCCTCTTTCTGAAGCCTGGGGCAGTACTAAGAGACTCAGACAGATGCCTTGTACTCCACTACACGGATCTGCTACAGGCTACAACTAGGACAAGGCTCTTGAGACATACTGGGTGTATCTGCATGTGCAGTTAGCAAGGAGCAATACATTCTGGCAGTTTGCCACAGCAGCGAGAGCCAGAGTGGAGCAGCCCCAGGCTGGCAGCAGGATCATGGTAGTGGAGGAGGAGTTTGGGGCACAAGGGTGCTACAGTGCAGGGCTAGGCAGCAGGCAGCCTCTGTACTGTAGCACCCTCGTGCCCCAACCAGCCCCAGTCACCATCTCCATGCATGTTGAGGTAGCATAAATTACTCTGCTGTAGGATAGTATTGGTTCTGGGCAGTAGTATCCTATAGCGGAGTTAATATATTTACTGCACCCTAATAGGGGCACAGGTGTAGATGGTGACGCTTTACTCTGGAGCTAATTAGTCAACTCCACAGTAAAGTGCACTGTGTAGATGCACCCACTGAAGAGCAAATAAACTAAACTAGTTTAATCCATATAGTTGTGGGAGCCTGAACTGGATGATTTTTTACTATTGCAACTATCATTTCTTTAGAGTGACTTGTGGAGTTAGGGTCTGATATGTTTTGATGTTATTTATTATAATTGTCCTGCCTTGTGATTTGCTGGGTGATCCATGTACTGTCTTCTATCATTTTATTTAGCTTTGCTCCTAGCATGTGAGAATCGCACTCAAGTACATGTTTTCTAGACAGTATGTGCCTCTGATGTTGGTCACAGTGGAATGGAAACCCACATCATGGCTGTGTAAAACCAGGAAAGATAGTGAATTACTCCTACAGAACAATTTGTATTTCTTTACTCTTATTTGTAATAAATTGGTTTTTTAAACTCCTATTATACGGAAGTAGGGCCAGGATCTCTGCAGTGCAAGGAAAGTGTTCCAGATTAACCAAAGGTAGTGCTGAAATGTTAATGTGACCCGTGTTACTGTTTAGTGCCGATCTGCAATCCCTGTTCAGATTATTTCAAGTAGGACCCCAAATAAATTTGGGGATTACGAGTGTTTAGGTGTTATTGAAAGATCATGAGGCTTAAACAGAATGTACATCAGGTCTATGATCTTTACTGCTTCTTCATAAAATTGGTCCTTTAGCAAACCAGCTTCCAGAACTGGAGTCAAGATTGCCATCTGAGATGACTACTCTTGCTAGGATTGCTGGATTCCTGATTGACAGAAATGTGGCTTGTTGTAAGGTTTCCTCCAAAATACAGCTTCTGACCTTGGCAGAAAATAAACCTTGTAAAGTTGTCAAACTTATTTCCCAAGCAAGACAAATATGTCATCTTAATTTCCATGAGATGTCAAGAATTCTTGAGATTGAGTGAAGTATAGATGAGTTAGTAAGGACTTTAATCTCTGCTTCTTTCTTTTGTTTCATTCCTTATTTGGTTCTTTGGTGCACACCTTTATTGGTGATCTTAAAAGTGTTGATAGCTGTATTTGCCTGATATAGGAAACCCTGTAACTGTAATAACTTTTCCTGGTTTTGTTGAATGAAACCGGAATCAGTCTTTTTATATGCTTTCAAAAGACTAGGAGATATTTAAAGTTTTTGCATAGTATATAAAATACGGACCCATATATTTAGGCTAAAGAAGATGCATCTTGCATTTCAAATCATAGCCTTGATCAAATACAGTATTTACAAAACATTAGTAGAGCTTTGAACTGAAACTTTGTTAAGGTCCACCACCAAACTGACATTTAGGACCTCATGGGCTCTCTGCTCCCAATTGTTAGGTTTAGTGATCACATTTTCTTATTGATTAAAATAATCTTCTTTTCCCTGTTGCTATGAAAAAGACTCTCAGTTATAGCACGGGAAACTGTGAACAGGCCATTTGTGTGGACACGGCCACAGTAGTCAAATCTAACTACGTGAGCCCCGAATGCATTTGGCTATAGCTGTTAAGCAGAATATTTAAATAACTATGTAAGCATTTAGCTGTTGAGCAGAACATTTAAGCAGACATTTAACCATGTAGCTGAAAAAGAATCTACACATACAGGCTGCGTCCAGACAAGTATGGCCGTGCAGTATGTGGTGCCACAGACACATTCACCTGTTCTCCATGCTGCAAGCGGGGAGGGTGACCCCTGGATAGCCATAAAAAAAGCAGAGTGGTGCACACAGGGGCAGCATGCCCTGCTTAAAACCGGAGCCCAGATGGCTAGAGCCATGCTTTGGCTGCTGGACAGGCTCCAAGCGGCAGGACTGAAGGTACTGCAGCCCCAGGAGGCCCCCAGGACCTCAGGTAAGGCTGCTGGGGCAGCCCAGTGCTGGCCCCAGCCTCCCCTACCCCACTCTGGCTAACCTGCCATGCGCCAGAGCAGTGGCACAAGGCATGCTGCTGCTTCTTGTTCCTGGGGAACCAAACGTTCATGCTCATGTGGATGTGGCCACAGTAGTCAAAACTAAAACATGAAGTGACGTGATTTTTTAAAACCTTTTCAATTATAGTGATCTGATGTATAATTTGTAACATAGGTAAACAAAATGTTTAGGCATAAAGCATCATTTTAAAAAATGTTTATATTCCTTAAGATGTATTAAGGACTGCAGGATACCATAAAGCTCTTTTAAATAATGCACTTTAATACAGATCTAAATATGACATTTTGTTCTAATGAATGGCAGCGTAAATAGAAAATATCAGTGTCTCATGAATACAGGTAACAAAATTAATTGGCAGAAGTACATTGGATTTATAATTTACCTGAAAGTTTATCACAGTGAGACTTTTCAAGTGTTTGCTGGAAATCAAAACGTTATCACTGGTTATCATCTGTACAAGGCTATAATTCTATAGACCAGTTAATACACCAGATCTGCCCACAAAGAACATTAGTTCCTCCTACCTCTATAATAACTGTAAACATCATACGTCTTAAACATTCAAGAAGAACTGGCTTTGACCTTTAATATTTTGATTTGGCAGAATGCAAAAAGCATCGGCACTCTGGTACATGGGAAGAAAGGTATTTGAATGCAGAGAATAGTGCATTTAATAGCAGCCCCAGAGAACTGAGTACCCATATTGGAAACAAATGGCTATCATTATCACAATGGCATGAGTCTAGGGAAATCCAGGGAATGCAAAATTAGGTATTCCCTGCTACCAGCCAAACCTACCTAGTCTAATAGGATCTCTGTGCATTTTTCCACACCACTGCAGAATCAAGCCAAAATTATGCTACATTTGAAAATCTACTTAATTCTAGGTCCTTTTCTTAATACTTATAAGCAGTTGGCTATATTAAGGGCTATGTGATCTAAGAAACCAAAATATTTAGAGTTGTATAAGAAGAATACTAGTATTTTCTCATTCTTCACATATCTGAGTAAGAAATGATCCTTGAGTTATGTCTTCACAAGATAAAGGCACCAAAAGTATCTTCCAATGCTTTTAAACAAATCTTATTTCCTGAAAGTAATAAGGTACTCTGGGTAAGCTTGAATGTCATTAAAGATGACAAACATCGATGGTGAATTCATGCGATCAACCACACTGTCATATAGGTCAGTAGGATCGCTTGCATTTTTCGATGGTGGAGTTATCATTCCTGCCACTCCAACACAATACTGTCCAGTGAGGACTCGAGCAAGGTACATGTGTTTAAAGCCATTCATGTCAGGTTGAGAGTACGTATCCATAGCAGAATAATTGGCATGGACAGCAAAATAGGTTCCATTTCCAATTGCTGCAGCTGTGTTTGGAAAGATTAAGTTTTGAGAACAACAATTAGCAATCACTGGCTTTCACCCCCTTGAAACTTTATTAGGAAAAAAGGATAAATTGCACATTCAATTTTGAATTAATAGCTTTGTTCCATTCTTTCTCAAGATATGGCTTGCTAGCAAAATCAGCTCTGAGTCTTGAAATGACATCTTAATATTGCTGAGCTACAGTGGGACAAGTTTGGGATGCCTTGTTCAAAGAGGAAGGAATTTAATTCCCCACTTCTGCTTACCATTGTGTGACTTTCTATCTAGCCTGCTGGAAGCATTTGAATTTTCCAGTTTTATGATTTTATATAATTATAAGGACAGTTTTCTAACTGTCTAACGACATAGTCTGATTCCATAACCTTTCTGAAATTGGGTGAAACCTTTTCATCCAAGTACTCTCAAAATATGTGCAAGGGACTTGAAAACATTGTTTTACTATAATTAAATGCTAAATAAATCCCAAACATCCACTGCACTGTGCAGATTCTGATTCTCCTCTGACTTCTGCTATCCTCATCCTTTCTTGCTGAGTCTCTTCTTTGCTGATCACCACCCCACATCCTTCTTTCATGTCAGTAAACAGTAAACTACTAAACTAATACTTAGTCCCGGCTCTTGCAAAGCCTGTGCCCTGAGGAGTTCAATGCTTTAAGGTAAGCACAAGTGTAAGTCTGCAAGATCAAGATCATGTATTTGGATCAGTGACTCTGAGCCAAATCCAGTCATGGGCTTAGGCACCTTTTACTGCCTAATTTTTAGATGCCTGGACCCAGAATGGAATTCAGATCCCAAGGGAGGCACCAAGGCTTTCCACTGCATGTCAGAGGTAGGTGCCTCAGCACAAGATACCAAATACCTAGCAGGCTGAGGAGAGACTTGGGTGGGGGGCGGGGAGAAGGGAGGGGGAACTAATTTGGAAATCACTTGGCTTGAAGGATCCAGCTGTTACACAAAAATTAAACACTTGTGTATGTCGGGAATGTACCAGCACAGGTACATCAGAAGTCATTAGCTCATCAGGTCTGTCCTACTGAATCCCAACAGTGTATTCCAGAGGCTGGATGTACCATTAAATGAAAACAACTCTTGTGCTCATGGCAGCTTTGGACATATCCCCGGAAAAGACCCAAATGGGTCATCTACTCCTTCCCCTGTCTGTGTACAACTATTCCCTGTGGTACAGTTCCTAATTCTTTGCCATCTCCTCCCTCTGATCTCATGATCCAAAATGTGCCAAACAGGGTTGTAGTACCACAATGTTGCACCAACTTTCATTCATGCATTTCTAGTTTAGGAAATCAATTTATCTTACCGTTCTTTCCAGCAAAACCACGATTGAACCCATTATAATTAATTACGTTCAATGAGTTATGCGCTGTTCCATGAAACAGGCACCTTTCATTATTCTGATTGCCATTCTTATTGTCCACAGACAGTTTTTTGATTTGGTATTGCTGCCAGAGGAATGGATTTTGTATCCTTTCAATCTACAAAAAGTTAGAAAATGAAAGAGATTATTGCTATTGACAAATATTTATCATGACACCAAAGCATTAAAAAATAACAAATATAAATGTTCAGGTCACTCTGGTCCTTTGATTTTTTGTGAGGGTAGGCTTTATAGGTATATGGGGAATATACTCCAATGAAAAAACAGTAATCATGGGGCCCATCTACATGAGACATTTACTGCAGAGCTGACTAACTAGCTCTGCAGTAAAGTATCAGCATCTACAAATGCAGCCCTATTGGCCACAGTAAACTAATAACTGCCACTGGAGCATTATTTAGTGTGCTGCAACACGTGTAGATGGTGACGGGGCTGGCTGGGGCATGAGGGTGCTTCAGTGTGGGGGCTGCCTGCTGGCTAGCCCTGCACTGGGGCATCCTCGTGCCCCAGCCAGTCCCTCTGCAACACGCTGAGCCAGGTCAAAGTAGCCCTGGGCTGGCAGGCTGGCCTCCTGTAGCTGAAGCTACTCCAACCGGGCTCAATGTGCTGCAGACCTGATCACAGGTGTAAGCGCAGCGCTCGGGAGCAATAAATTTCACTGCGAACTGTGCCAGATTGCACGTGTAGATGCACCCGTAGAATCACAGAAAAGCAGGGCTGGAAGGGATTTCAGGAAGCCATTTAATCCAACCCCTTATTAAGGCAGGATCATCCCGATCTAAACTATCCTAGACAAGTGTTTAACCTGTTCCTAAAAACTTGGGAAACAAACACTCACAGACAACCCTAGGCATAATGCTTGAAATATCAAAAACACTCTTTAACTTGTCACAGGTCAAGCAGGGCAATGATGGCACTGCCATTGTCCTGCCACTGCAAGGACAGAACATAATTTGTTAATAAAAGATCAAGATCCAAGGAGGAGAACCATGCTCCCTGTTAGAGGAAGGTGAAAACCCCCACACTTAGTACCTGCCCCCCCTGATCTGACCATGGGGTACAAATCCTTCCTTGTACCAAATGTGGTCTGACCCTGAGCAGAGGAGTAAGATACACAAGCTAGGAACCTATGGGTTTTCTAAGTCCCAGCAGGATCATCAATATACCCCAGTCAAAATCCAGACAAGACCAACACCTATTACTTCTAAGGAAAGTAACCCTCCTCGACACCAGTAGCAATCAGGAAAGAAAACATTTCTTCATGGCCCCACAGAAAGCAGAAACCCCAAAGCATAGGCTAACTAGATACCTTCCACTCTGTACTGGAACCTGGGGACCACAAGGACAGCTCCACACATTATACATCCTGCTGGGCCAGAACACCCTTTTCAATGAACCTATCTCTTCCATAAAGTGATCCCAGCTCAGTGTTATTTAATAACCAAGCTTTGCTTCATTCTCCTGTTGTTGAGCTCAGTGCCCTCCGATTTGCACCTGCTCTGGGCTGTCGAGTCCCTCTTACGGTCTATGACTGATGCTATGGAGGTCCTGGAGGGCTAGGGGAGGAAACTCCTGGGATTTCCCAGCTACTGCTCTTCACCGCACACTCCAGATATTGCCTCTCCTAAATTATCCCTGTCCAATGTTTATCTTGAAAACCTCCAGTGAAGGAGACTGTATAACTTTCCTAAGGAGTCTGTTCCACTGCCTCACTTCTCTAACCATAAGGAAGTTTTTCCTGATATTTAAAATGTCATAGTTTCATAGTTGGTTGGGTCGGACGGGACCTGAGCAGGTCATCAAGTCCAACCCCCTGCCGTGGACAGGAAAGGATGTTGGGGGCAAATGACCCCGGCTAGGTGACTGTCTAGCCTCCTTTTGAAGATCCCTAGAGTAGGGGTGAGAACCACTTCCCATTTACTTCACTGCAACCTGAAGCCATTGCTTCACATCATTTCTTCTTCAGTAAGACAAAACAATTGTTCTGCCTCTTCTTCATAGCAGCCTTTCAGATATTTGAAGACTGCTACTGTGTGTTCCCTTTTCTCCAAGCTAAGTATGCCTGCTTCTCTCAACCTTTCCTTACATGGCTTCCTTCCAACCCCTTTATCATTTTTGTTGCCTGCCTCTGGACCCTAATTTCTCAACTTCCTTCCTAAAATGTGGAGCCCAGACCTGCACACAATACTCTGGATGAGACCTAATGAGTATTGAGTTGGAAACTTAGAAAATGAAAGCAGCCAAAGTAACCTAGAAACATTTTAAGCTAGATGATTTCCATTTAACACCTGAACCTTGCCTAATATACCTGGTACATGTAATAATACTGGTATGTCATTAGTGAGGTAATTAAGATTTTACAAATACAGTACAACCTCATCATAATGACTCCCCACGGGACAGACTACATTCAAAGAGGAGGTTTGATGTAACAGGATTGATTAATTTGATGCATCATAAAAATCTGATCCGACTCTCAGTGAAGTCCGTGAGAATCTTTCCAATGGGAGTAGGCGGAAAGGGCATTGGTATAGAAGCTACGGATTTTCAGGTTAAAAATAATAGGCTTTAGAGATGGCAAAGACCATTCCAGTCATACCCTTGCACAGTTGTTTTCATTTTCCAGGAACAAACGTTTGCTCCAACGTTTTTAAATAGCCAAATATCCCCCTATTCTTATAGGTGATAATCCCAGAGGATCTCAGCATTGGGGATTTTCTGTGTGGTTCAATATATATTTTCCCATTCGTAGTTTCATCCAGTTTCTCACAGCTGTCTTCCCTTTTGCTGATAAATATACAGGTTTGGATTTGCTCTCTGTCACTAGTGTATTGTGTTGGGGAAGCGTGGACCTGGAAGGGGTAGCTACAAGTAAAAACTTTGTAAAAACTGATGTCCATCTCTCTTTTCCATGTTACCTCACCTTGCTAATTTTGAATCCGCAGGTTTTCTGAAACTCCATCTGCACTTTTTGATATTCTGGTAATCCTTGATTTAGTTGCACCACTTTGACACGTTCCTGCTGCATATCATCCCACTCTTTTGGAAGATCTATCGATTGTTTATCTGCAAATTAAACATTTTTAATATTGTCTAAGTCTCACACTGATTATACAGGGTCCTGCCTTCCCAGTAACTGAAAAGAAAGGATCTATTACCTAATCTTTTCTTCCACAAATACCATTCTTTGGCAAGAGTATTATTTGCATGAATAATCCATAACGTCTGTAGCACAGATGGAGTTTTCTATATTTCTGTCACTCTCATCTGCTTGTTACCAAACAAACAGCATTCAACTAATTTTTTTAGAAATATCAGGAAACTTCTGGGCCACTCAGAAATATGTACCTAAACCTTCAAATTGTGGTCAATAGGACTATTCAGGTGAGTAAGGACAATTCATATGCTTAAAGAAGGTATCTAATGCATCTCATTACCTCTCTCTACTCATGGATATGCTTGCAGAGCACATGTTTGGAACATTTATCTTTTCCGTGATATGGTATTTGATTATGACATGTTAGGTTTTTGTTATGTCTGTAAATCAAAAGATTTATTAGCAAAGTGATTAAGTTGAGGGAAAATCCAAGTATAACTACTGTACTCTGTTGTCACTAGCTGTTCCCTGAAGTTCTGATTCAACAGAGCACTTTAAAGTATACTGGATGGTGGCTTGCATTATTTTTCTATTGAGGAGATGGCTTTAAACAGATTTAGAAAACAGTACAGAATGAAAAGTGGAAAAGAAAAAAGAAACATTTACAATATAGTTAAGGATAGGAACTTCCATGTCTTCTCTAGGTAGCCTGTCCCAATGCCTGACTGCTCTCATAGTAAAAAAGACAGCTTAAATTTCCCTTGCTGGAGCTTGTGGCCATTGCTCCTAGTCCTGTCCCACATGGCTACAGAGAAAAAGCCCATCTCCAGACTGTCCATAACTGCTCTTCAGGTATTTAAAGACTTATCAAATCTCCCCTCAGTCTTCTCTTCTCCATACTAAATAACCCTAGCTCTTTCAGTCTTTCCTCATAAGTTTTACCTCCTAGGCTCCTAATCATTTTTGTTACTCTGTACTGGACTTTTTCCAATCTGTCCACATCCTTCTTGAAGCATGTGGCCCAAAACTGGGCATGAGACTCCAGCTAAGGCCTCACCAGTGCTGAATAGATCAGAAAAATCACTGCCTTTAATTTGCAAGAGACACTTCTGTTAATACAACCCAGGATGCTGTTGGGTTTTTTTTGCAACAAGAGCACACTGTTGGCTCATATTCAGCTTATGCTCTGCTGCAACCCCGCGGTCCTTCTCTGAAGTACTGCAGCTTAGCCAGTCATTCCCCGCTCTATTGGTGCATGCAGTTATTTCATCCCAAGTTCAGGACTTTGCACATGTCCTTACCGAATCTCACCTCATTGACTGCAGGCTATTTAGCCAGCCTATTCAGATAATTCTGGATCGTGGCCCTACTCTCCAGAGCAGTGGTTTTCAACATGTGGTTTGTAAACCCCTGGGGGTCCCTGGACTATCTAAAGGGGTCCATGAAAGATGACTATGATCAATTAAAAGTATGTGAATACTAGGCCTGTGCGAATAGGCAGCTATTCGATTTGGCTTTGGATCCGGCTGCTTCAGATGCCAGCGATCTGATCCGGAGCTCCGGATTGGTTTCCTGCTTCAATCTGGCCGAAGTGGCTCTGAAACTTCGAAGCCGCCTCAGAGATCTGGCCATAGGGTGTAATGGGGGATATAATGAAATATCTATAACTTTGTTGGTTTTTCTCTGATTTGGGTGAATCTTGCAGGGGTGGTAGCCTCTGCTGAGAGCATGAAGCTTGCCAAGTTTCAAGAAGATAGGTGCAGGGTCTTGGGGGGGGAACTGCACCCCAAATTCTTGAAAGCAAAACTCATGTCACATGTGTGTTACACCACGGGGGGGGGGGGAACACTGCAGGGGTGGTAGCCCCTGGTGAGGCCACGAAGCCTGCCAAGTTTCAAGGAGATACGTGCAGGGGTTTGGGGGGGACTGGACCTCAAGCTGCGGACAAGCAAAACTCATGACATGGGTGACAGTGTGTGTGTTAAGGCACAGCAGGGTGAAGGCCCCTGCTGAGGCCACGCAGTCTGCTAGCTGTCGAGGAGATAGGTGCAGGGGTTCTGGGGCCCTGCACCTCTGGCTGCTGACAGGCAAAACTCATGACATGGGTGCTTGTGCAACTGACTGTCTTGGGGTGTGGGGATGACTAGGGAAGGCCTGGCTGCTAAGCTACTGTGTTACCAGTTACCAATTAGTCATGATTCACTGGGAACCAGCTCAGTACACAGTAGCTAGCTAATGTAACCAGTTAACGAGCAAGGATTAACACTTACAAAACCACAGACTAAGGAGAGGAAAGTATCAATACAGACAATCAACTGCCCCAAGACAGACCGTCAGTTGCACAAGCACCCATGGCACGAATTTTGCCTGTCAGCAGCTAGAGGTGCAGGGTCCCAGAACCCCTCTGCACCGATCTCCTTGACAGCCGGCAGGCTTCGTGGCCGCAGCAGGGACCACCATCCCTGCAGCTTTCACCCCGCTGGCCTTAACACACACAGGGTCATCTATGTCATGAATTTTGCCTGTTAGCAGCCAGAGGTGCAGGGCCCCAGAAGCGAGACTCCCCCTGCACCTATCACCTTGAAACTTGGCAGACTTCGTGGACTCAGCAGGGGTGACCACCCCTGCAGTTTTCACCCCGCTGTGGTGTAACACGTACATGTGACATGAGTTTTGCATTCAAGAATTTTGGGTACAGTTCCCCCCAAACCCCTGCACCTATCGTCTTGAAACTTGGCAGGGTTCATGTTCTCTGCAGAAGCTACCACCCCTGCAAGTTTCATCCAAATCAGACAAAAAACAACAACGTTATAGATATTTGATTCCCCATTATACCCTATGGCCAGATCTCTGAAGCGGCTCCGAAGCTTTTCCAAACTGCTTTGGAAAGCCTAAAGAAGCCAGCGCTTCGATCCAGACATGTTGCTTCAGCGTCCAAATCTTCTCCGGATCCGAAGCATGGTCTGAAGCCTCGCACAGCCCTAGTGAATACCCACACTTACAATTCAGAGTGGTCTGCATCTCCATTCAAAATTTCCAAAGGGGTCTGCACCTCCATTCAAAAATTTTTAGGGGTCAGCAAATGAAAAAAGGTTGAAAACCATTGCTCCAGAGTATTTGCAACTCCACCCAACTTGGTTTCGTCCACAAATTTGCTAACCACGCACTTGATCCAATCATCCACATCATTAATAAAGATATTAAACAATACTGGACCCAGGATGGACCTCTGGAGAACCCACTCCTCCCAACTAGGCATTGAGCCATGGATGACTACTAGTTGATCATGATGATCCAACCAGTCCCTGGTTAGTCAGTCCCTGTTTGGAGATATACTTTTCTGTTCTGAATTACCTTCCAGCTTTGAGACACGCTGAATGGTTACAGTTGTCCCTTGTTCATCTGTAGCATGCAAAGTGTTCATGTCCACCGTGTACTTCTTCCTGTTGACTTTGACATTGACAGATGGCTTTTTAGCTGCTTTAGCATCCTCTAACTGCATGTTTGTTAGAGGGTCAAAGGCTGCGAAAGTACCATCAGGGAGAGAATACTTCCACGCTACTATCTGGTGAACAAGTTCTATCTTGGATTGTTCTTCTTGGTCATCTTTAATTCTTTTGATCATTTTTTCAATTTCCAAGGAAGCATCATAGACATCTCTGGTAATACCAGAAACTTTAATGTACGGGGGACATTTGTTGGTTTCGACTTGAATGGTAATGTGCAGTTTCTCCTGGAGTTCATTCAGTTTTCTCAATTCTGCTTCACTAAACGTTTCAATTAATTCATTTTTAATATTATGTTCAGACTGTTCCTTTATAATCAGAATTTTTAACCAGGTTTCAGTGTCTTCCACATTTTGGCGGTTTTCACCACATATCTGAAATACAGCTAACTCAATCTTCTTCTTCAAAACCAAATCTTGCTTCTTTCTAGGAGGTTGTTTTTTGCCAGAAAAAAATGCTGTAACAAAGAATAAAGTCCATAATTATTTTATCTTTTATTTTAGAAAGTATTTAATTTTAGGTACTTGCAATTTTTAAATAAATGCTTTACTTACATGTTATCCTAGAATACCATGATTCTGATGCAGCTAAACCTGTTCCACCTCTTTTTTGCATGGCTGCATAAAAATCATTTTGCATATGTGGCTGAAAAAGGACTATTTTAATTTTTTCCACATGCTGTACTGGCTTTTTACTTGCAAAGTTGCCTATAGCATCCATCATATCATCAGCTACCTGAGCAGGATTCTGTCTTGCATTACCTGTAACAGTAAGAAAAATATAATTTATGTGCTTGTGAGTGAACAGTATATGAACTAAAAGGGTTTCTTCTGCATGGACACATCCCCAATTAGCATTGATGTCATCCTTTTTCCCCCCACAAGGGCCACACAAAAAAAAAAAGAAACAAGAAAAAAGAAAAGAAAAGGTCCCCATCAGCATTTTGGTCTTTTGGCTAAGATCAAATGTAGCAGCATTTTTGGCACCAAGGGAAGGGTGTCAGGGTTGGCTCTGGCCAGATCCCCATGAGTATGTTGGCCAATAAGGGGCCCATGTTTTATACTCATGCTCAGTGTTTAATCAGCTTCATATTTGGTTTCTAGTACTGAGCACATGCTGCCTTTGGCAGCTGTTTAATGAAAGATAATGTATTTAATGAGGCTTCCTTGTATGCAAGTATAAGTATACCCAGGGGGTAGCTACCAAGGAGGAGTATACCTCCTTGGCTCGCACTAGCAGGGAGTCAGTGAGAAAGGCCAAAGCTGCAATGGAACTGGGGCTGGCGAAAAAAATGAAAGACAACAAAAAGTCCTTCTTCAGGTGTATAGGGAGGAAAAAGAAGGCGCAGGGTAACATGGGCTTCACCTCTCTCCTAAAGGCAAGCGTGTCTTCTCTTCCAGGGTGGCTGATCTTGTACGGCAAGCTTTAAACTAGCCTTGCCAGGGGAGGGTGCTGCAGGAAGACGTGGAGACACCACCCAAGCAAGACAGGTGACACATGCAAGCAGTGCCCAGGTAAGAAACAGGGGTCCAGATAGTCTTCCTAATTGGGGGGTGGCACTTGCAACTATGCAAGTTAAATGCCTATATACCAATGCTCGTAGTATGAGGAACAAATAGGGGGAACTCGCCCTCAGAATAGCCAGTTCAGACCCAGACATAGTAGGGCTTACAGAAACGTGGTGGAATTCATCCCACGACTGGGCAGTTAGCATTAGGGGCTATCGGCTCTACATGCAGGATAGAGAAGGAAGGAAGGGAGGAGGTGTGGCGCTCTATGTCAAAGAGCAATACACATCCTCTGCCAGCAAAATGGGGTCAGAAGAGGGGCAAGCTGAAGTGCTCTGGGTCAAGATACAAGGGGGTCGTGGGGAGAGGGATGTAACGGTGGGGGTCTACTACAGACCCCCCCAACCAAGGGGAGGAGCTGGACCTTGAATTTTTGGGCCAGCTTGCAGAGGCACTTAAGGCAAGGGATATAGTTGTCATGGGCGATCTAAATTACCCAGACATCTGCTGGGAGGAGCATTCAGCCAGGTTGGACCGTTCCAGGAGGTTCCTGGCTGAGATACAGGACCTCCACTTAACCCAGGAGGTGCACAGTCCCACCAGAGGAAATGCCCTGTTGGACCTGGTCCTGGCCACAGGCGATGATCTGGTGAAGGGGGCTCCAGGTCCTTGACCACCTGAGTGATAGCGATCATTGCTTGCTGGAATTCATCGTCCAGCGCAGGGTGACAAGGGCCTGCAGCAAGGTGGCAGCCCTAGACTTCAAGAGGGCCAACTTCAAAGAGTTGAGGAGATTGGTGGGAGAGGCGCTGGGGTTCTCGAGGGCAGGGGAACTTGGTGCCCAAGATGAGTGGTCGTTCCTTAAGGAGACGATACTCAGGGCCCAAGAGGTGACAATCCCAACAAGAAGCAAGGGGGGCAAGAGTGCCCAAAAGCCCCCCTGGCTCACCAAGGACGTCTGGGAATGCCTGGTTGCCAAAAAGGCGGCATACACCCAGTGGAAGGGGGGGGCGATCTCCAAAGAGGACTATACCTCCAGCGCTCGGGCCTGTAGGGGGGCTGTTAGGAAAGCTAAGGCGGACATAGAGCTAGGACTAGCGTCCAAGATCAAGGATAATAAAAAGTCCTTTTTCAAATATATAGGGAGGATGAAGAAGGCACCGGGAAACGTGGGGCCCCTGCAAGATACAGTGGACAACCTGGTGGTTGCGCCAGAGGATAAGGCAGACCTCTTTAACATAGGACCCCTACAGGACAAACTAGGGCAACTGGTGACAGATAGGAGGGACAAGGCTGAACTCTTCAATGAGTATTTTGCCTCTGTATTCCTAAACAGATCAAGACAAATCTCCCAACTGCATTATAGCTAGGTACAGGAGGAACACTAGCCAACCAACTGTCAGCACTAACCTAGTAAAGGGACACTTGGAGGGGATGGATGTGTTTAAGTCAGCAGGCCTGAATGATCTTCATCCAAGGGTGCTGAAAGAACTGGCCAGTGTCATAGCAGAGCCACTGGCACAACTGTTTGAGCGCTCACAGTGCTCAGGTCAGGTCCCAGAGGACTGGAAAAGGGCCAGTGTGGTCCCTATTTTCAAGAAGGGGAGGAGGGAAGATCCGGGTAATTACAGGTCAGTTAGTCTTACCTCTATCTTGGAAAAATCTTTGAAAAAATTATCGAGGATCACATCTGTGGGAGCCCAGCAGGAAAAGTAATGCTAAAGGGCAACCAGCACGGGTTCATAGCAGGTAGATCCTGCCTGACTAATTTTGTTTCTGTTTACGACCAGGTCACAAAATGCAGAAGTTGAGGTAGATGTCATCTACTTGGATTTTAAGAAGGCCTTCGATACGGTATCTCATCCTATTCTCATAAACAAACTGAGCAGCTGTGACACAGATGATTACACAGTCAGGTGGTGGCAAATTGGCTTCAGGGTCACACCCAGAGAGTGGTGGTGGAGGGGTTGGGATTGACCTGGAAAGATGTGGGCAGTGGGGTCCCCCAAGTCTTGGTCCTTGGACCTGTGCTATTCAATGTCTTCATCAGCAACTTGGATGAGGGTGTGGAGAGCACCCTGCCCAAATTCGTGGATGACACGAAATAATGGGGTAAAGTAAACACACTAGTGGGAAGGGATCGAATCCAGGTGGGCCTGGGCAGGTTGGAAAAGGGGGCAGAAAAGAACAGGATGAAGTTCAACAAAGACAAGTGCAAAGTGCTGCATCTAGGGAGAAGGAATCACCAACACATCTATAGGCTAGGGGATGACCTTCTCAGCAGCACAGCAGCAGAAAGGGATCTTGGAGTCATAGTTGTCTCCAATAGGATTATGAGCCATCAATGTGACAAAGTGATTAGTAAAGCTAACCACATTTTGTCATGCATTAACAGGTACATAACGAACAGGTCCAGGGAGGTGATGCTTCCCCTCTATGCAGCATTGGTCACACCACAGCTGGAGTACTGCGTCCAGTCCTGGGTGCTGCACTTCAAGAGGGATGTGGATAACCTTGAAAGAGTCCAGAGGAGGCCACTCGTATGGTTAGGAGCCTGCAGGTAAGGCCCTATGAGGAGAGACTGAGGGACCTGGATCTCTTCAGCCTTCCCAAGAGAAGGCTGAGAGGTGATCTTGTGGCCATTTACAAATTCATTGGGGGGGATGGGACAGGGGGACAGCAAGAAATAGAAGATACTCTGCTTACCAAGGCACCCCTTGGAATAACCAGGGACAACAGCCACAAACTGATGGATGGCAGATTTAGTGTGGACATCAGGAAGAACTTCTTCACGGTAAGGGTTGCCAGAATCTGGAATGGGCTTCAAGGGAGGTGGTGCTCTCCCCTACCTTGGGGGTCTTTAAGAGGAGACTGGACAAGCACCTGGCTGGGAGTCATCCTGCCCAAGGCAGGGGGTCTAACTCGATGATCTACTGAGGTCCCTTCGGACCCTAACATCTATGAAACTATGAAACTATAAGA